AACTTTAAAATAACTTTATTTTAATATATCATTGTAAAAATTAAAAAAAAATTTATATTTGATTTGATTTGATTTGATTTGATTTGATTAATTCAATTCAATCAAATATTTGATTTGATTGATTTGATTTGACAAATATTTGATTCAATTTTATTCGATTCGATCAAATTCAAATTGATTCAAATTGATTCAATTAAATATTTGAGTTCGATTCAATTCAATTCGATTTGAAAAATCAAATCAAATTCAAATTGCTTAAATATTTGATTTGATTTGATTTTAAGGAACTCTAATTACCTGTAACCTCAAAAGATATGCTAGCCTCTACTGTATTTGTATTAGGTAATGGAAAATGAACTGCTAGGAATATCTGAAGTATTAATCTACATAAAAATCTTTAATACTTTTTTTTATAAAGTTTAAAAAAATATCTGTATTATAAAATTAAAAATTATCAATTTCTAACTTTATTAGAATAATTTAATTGTGTTTTATAATTTTTTAAATAGTTAAATAAATGTTTGAAAAACCGAAAAAATTAAGTATTACATAAAATGATTGACAGAAATGTGATTGTCAGATCACACATATGATAGACATCACATGCATAGTTTTAGCTCTAACCAAAAATGTTTTATGCTTACGCTTTAGACAATTAGCTACACAATTGAGTTCATTTTAAGCAAAATTAATATTAAAAAGTCTTTTTGATGTTGTTTTCCATCTATATCTCCATAATAAGCATAGGCTCTAACAGGCAAATTATCAGATTTAAATAACTTAGATGCTTTTCCTACTAACGCTTTAGCCATCACTACTCCAGTAAATACATATGCTACATGTTTACTTTACCTCAAAAGATCATATCCTATTCGCATAGCTTCAGCTCTACTATTCAGATCATAAAGAATATCAACCATCTCACTTATATGAGGCTGGTATCCATTATCAACTATATAAATGTCTTCATCACAATATGCCTTAAGGAATGCTAATGTTTATTTATTCACAAAGGCATTCATGACCAAAACATGTCTTGTAAATCTTAAGATATCACGCATTGCATTTTCAGTTTTCTGTGCATTTGTATCGCTAGATATTTGATGTATAATGACATTGGCTTTATTGAGAATATCTATAAACAGATAAGCTGAAAACTCAATACGAAAAAAACTTTCAACCTATACTATGATAATATCCCATTTTTCTATAGATAAATCTCTTATCGTATTTTGATAATTGCAAATTCAGAAACCTAATACTTTTAAATTATTGAGTTTTGCTTTTGATTCATTGCTAAAAGACTTTTGGTAAGAGATCCAGATAAAGCATAGCAAAAAAGAAATATCATATACTTTATCTTTCAATGCCATAATAATTTTTCTTAACGCAATAGTTTTTCATGTTCCTAGAAAGAATAAGTAAGTGTTGCCATTTTCTCAATACTCAAAAAATCAGGATATGCTTCTGAAAAGTCCCTTAATTTTTTATATTAATAATTGTCTCTGATAATCTTACAAGAAAATATGGATTTGATATAGCATCGCTTATTCTTTCAACTATTTCTCACTTAGGTTTTGCAGAAAATTTAGTTGCTTTTCTAAATATCAATTCTTTATGATCTAGTTTATATTGTTTTTGCCGATAATATCTAAGCATAAAACTTTCACTTCTAAGAAGAAAGTCATATAACTAGTCTTTTTCATGTTTGATATCACAAATAGAGCATACTTTTAATGACCAAGCTTGAAAGTTGACAAATTCTTTTCTAATGTCGCCAATCTCAAGCCATTCATATTTTGTGGTAACCAAATCAGCTTTCATGCTTAAGGCTAGGGTTCTTCAAAATCAAATCGAATTAAACTCAAATATTTGATCGAATCAATTTAAATCAATTTGAATTTGATCAAATCGAATCAAATTGAATCAAATATTTGTCAAATCAAATCAAATCAAATCAAATATAATTTTTTTTTTAATTTTTACAATTATATATTAAAATAAAGTTATTCTAAAGTTTTAATTAAGAAAATTATTAGTAATTG